GCCGCGGTGTCACCCAGCCCTGGAGGCGACTCGCGCCCCTTCGGCAGCACGGGTGCACGGGCCACCCCTCCGGACCGCTCCCGTTGCTCCCCGGCCCGCGGCGCCTTCCACCCGGGCCTCCCCTCCCCCACACAACCGTCCCGGCATCCCGAGCCCCCGGCCCCTGCCGCCACCCGCCCCCCCCCCCGACTCCCCAGCCGCCCGCGCTGGCTGAGCCTCACCTGCCATGTCCCGAACCCGACCACAGAGGGAGGTGCATCACGGCCGCGAGAAGGCCAGGGACAGAGCTTCACGGCAGACAAAGGGCGCCGCCATGTTAGAGCCGGGCGGAACCGACCTCGCCGGCTTCCCGGCACTGACTTCCGTCGCCGGCACAGCGCTTCCCTACGTGCGCGACCGCCGACAGGCGCATGCGCCTACCCAGCCCAAAGTTCTCCGTTAGTGGACTTCGGTAATTGTCCCTGTTTTAACTCCTGTCTTGGTTTTCCGCTCCAAATACATCCGCAACGGCACTTAATGTGTGCCAGACAGCATGTTCATCATCTCACGTGTTCGTAACACCACAAAACCGTGTTATTTCTCCTTTTTTTTTGTTTGTTTGTTTTGTTTTGTTTTTTCGAAACGATTTCTCTGTGTAGCTTTGGTGCCTGTCCTGAAACTCATTCTGTAGACCAGGCTGACCTCGAACTCACAAGAGATCCGCCTGCCCCTGCCTCCTGAGTGCTGGGATTAAAGGCGAGCGCCACCACCAATGGGTTCTCCTCTTTTCTTGAAGGAGTGAAAACTTAGGTGCAAAAAGGGTTAAGTAAGTTGCTCATACTTGCACATCTTTGTGACAGAGCAAAGATGCGAACCTAGTTGTGGTTCCCATTATGTTTTGGTAATATTTTTGCACTACCGGGGATCAACAGCAACTTGGACTGGGTAGATGGCTCAGTGGGCAACGTACTTGCTTATGCAAGCAAGGGAATCCAAGCTCAATCATGAACAACCACATTAAAAGCCAGGGGGCAGGAGTGATGGCTGAGAGGTTAAGAGCACGTTTGCTCTTGCAGAGGACTTGGCTCTAGTTCCCAGCACGCGCACGGTGACTCCAATTTCAAGGGATCTGATGCCTTTTTTTCTGGTATCTGCAATAAATAGGTGGTACACATACATACATGTAGACAAAATACTCATACACAGAAAATAAGTAAGTCTTAAATAAACAAAAACCTCTCCTGCCCATATGTGATCAAAAACACCTGGTGCAGATGGGCCAAACAAGCTTCTTTAGAGGAGTGAAAAACATGTGGCTTGTTATCTCCCATAAACAATAGTGTAATTTCAGGAACTATCTGCCCCTAGGCAAGGGGATTACAGATCAGAGGCATTTTTGATTCATGGATATCTAGTGATTGTAGCATAGTAACTGAAACTTTGGCTCTCACATTCCTCCTTGAGTTGTATCCTAAGTCAAATCCTTGACTCTGTGATGGTACCTGTTTATATGAGGATCTAAAAACTATCAGCTTAATGGTACCCAGACAGAAATTATCGTTTAGTTAAAGTATCAGTGACACAAGAGCCAATAACAATTAGCAGTAGGACCAAAGGACTTGTGGTGGCTGACATCAGAGTTACTATCTAGAAAGAACCTGGAAATAAGAATGGGGAACAGTTATTTACTTCCTCTCAAGGCCCCTGTTTTGCAATGACTTTTTTTTTTAGTACAGCCATATTATTCTTAACCATTTCTGAGTAGTTTACATAGAAACAACAATTTTCTCTTAAAGCCATAAAATAGCCTCTCTGATTTACATAGAGCAGGTTGAATGCCCTATCAAACCATGGAACTATTTTAGCTGTTGATAGCTCTGGGTATATTTGATTTTAACAAGTACCTTTCTTGGTATGCCAACAGGTACTATAGGTAGCTATTTTGACTCTTAAACAGGGAGTTTCCTTTTGATCTAACATTTCAGCCTGCTGGGGGTGGCAAGGGGAAATACTCTCTCCGTAACTACTTCCTGCTGAGACTATGGCATTGTTGTCCGGGCCCAGTAAGGCTGCAAGGCTATACAAAGGCAAGGAGGGAATTCAGACAATGGGGCATTCATCAGAAGCATCTGGTTCACTGACCCAGCTGAAGAGACAGGGAGCATTTACACAGGCTGGACTGGTCCACATCCGTTTTCAGCAAGTCCAGGACTTGCAGTCATTTGGAGCAGGTTGCAGTCAGCAGCTGATACTTGTATGTGTCCGTCAGCCAAGTGGAAATCTGCTAAGACAGATACAGACTAGGGACAGAAAACTGAAATTTAGGACCTTAAAGGAAAATCTTATATTTGGAACTTTCAGCCTGTAGTGCTAGTAATTAGGAAAGAGGAGGATTCCCAAGATCAGGAGCGAGAGAGAAATACCATGCTCAGGAATAGACAGGTGGGGAAACTTAGGCTGTATTTATCTGGAGTCCATATGACCTGTGAGAAGTTGATCCAAGTCTTATGACTCCCTCAGTCCTCTGAGGATTATATAATTCTTTTAGTTTACAAAAAGATATAAAGTTTTTAGATTCATTAGCATTACCAATATGTATTGATTTCCTCACTGTAGAGCATTCAGGTAGCAGGTGTCTGTAAAACAACTGGAGCCAACTCACACCTTTGGGTCCTAGCATAAGCTGCAGATTTGGGTTAAAAAGCATGAACATTCTTTTCCTTTTCCAGAGAGCCAGATATAGATTGGACAGAAATATGTTTGGCCCAGTGAGAAGCACATTTAAGTCTACACTTAAAAAGAAGACAACCAAAAGAAATCTAAAATCGCGAGCTTGTGACTGAACAGTAGTCAGTGTTCTACCAGCTTATCACAACTCTGGCGAGCAGGATTAAAACTCGGAACTTTGGAAATCTTAGTGTAACAACAGCATAAAAGGGGAAGGAAATCTGAAACAGTTTGTATTTTCTCATCCTTAAATCAATACCTTTACAACTTACATTTACTTCTTTTTTAAATTCAATCTAATTTTTGTTGTTGTTGTTTTCAAAACAGAGCTTCTCTGTGTAGTTTTGGCTGTCCTGGAACTCACTCTGTAGACCAGGCTGGCCTCAAACTCACAGAGTTCCACCTGCCTCTGCCTCCCAAGTGCTGAGATTAAAGACATGTACCACCATGCCTGGCTTAATTTATTTTTTTTTCTTTAGTTTACATTCCAACCACAGTTCCCCTTCCCACTCCTCCTCCCACCACATTTACATTTTAAATCATTTTCTGATACCCTCAAAACGTATTTAAGCTTTGACATCCTCAGACCCTTATATATAACTTAGACCATGAAAACTTACATAGACTCCTATCCTCAGACCGTTATATACCTTAGAACACGTTTTAGACCCTTGCATAGACTTTAACCCCTTTTCTTTCCAACAACTCATTTACCAGAGACACAATTAGCTATTACTGCGAACAATCATTTCAAATCATGTTCATTTAGTAGAGAATTATACCTGAAACCTGTTTATCTTTTAATATAAAGCCTGTTAGCAAAGGCAAGCCTGTCTACCTTTTCTCACCAGGTAGCTCTAGAAAAAGTAAGGTTTGACTTTTACATAGGAAGTGAGCTAACAAGCTGGCTGCAGCCTTGGGGAAGAATCTGGATGCCTGCTGCTGCTAAGCTGACCAAGCTATAGCTAACCCAGCCATCTGTACCATCAGAGATCTGAGAAGGACACATACAAATACCACAATATATAATTCAAATGGCCCATGTATCATTTAAAATGACAGAGTCTAGTCATTACCTAGATGGTCATCCAGATGCCTGAGGTCCCAGGACAGCATCATTCTCCAGCTGCCAGGTCGACAAGGTGAGAGGCTTTCCTGTGGAGGCGGAACATGGGAGAGACTGACTTTATTGTGTCCAGGCGAAGTGGGACAGTCAGCTCTTCAGCGTCCTGCTGGTCCACAGTTCGGGCTGGGTCCTGGTGGTAGGTGCTACACTCAGGCAGTCTTGCCTGGTGGTCAGTATCACCACAATCTAGGTGGGCATATCTTGGTGCCCCATCACCTTCTTTGGAGATCTCAGGGTCACTGCTGGGATTTGAGAGTCTTTGTGAAAGTAAGCTTTTTCCATTAAGCATTTTAAATGCCATGTTCATCAGATCTCTGACAAGTTTGAGGACCATTATCTATTAAGTATATCTGAGCTAAACAAACCTAGGCTTAACTTGGAAAACAAATCTGACATGACTACATGTTTGATTATTACAGATGACTAACTAATAACCTGTATTTCACAATTACATATTATATTTTTAAATGAGCTGCATAGGTACAAAGCCTTAAATAAGAGTAGAAACATATATTTAGTCTAACAAAAATAACCTTACATGTGTATCAGCATACAAAAATCCATACCAATGTGAAATATTTGAGACTAGTAGTTTCTTTTTTTTTAGTTTTTTAGCTGAAAAGTAGAGTCAATAATCTACCTTTCTATTCTATAATTTTTATTTTAAAAGTAGATGTAATAATCTATCCTTTCCTTTATTCTCTCTCTTAATTTTGAAAAAGATCCCTAAATCTGCCTTCTTTGTTTAGCTTCCTCCCTGACCATGACCAATAGCAACTTGCAAACAGCCCCTCTTACACAATCACAGACATCCCCTAAATGAACAGAGACCACTCACCCACCTCTTGGGAATGTGGGCATTGTGTCCTCTAGCCGGCTTCCTGTTGTCTCAGGGTGACAGCATCTCTAGGGGACACTTAGAAAATTGGAATAATAGCCAAGAGCTAGCTGTGTGATTTTGTGTTTAGTCTCGGCGTGATGGGAAAGTGTAGAGCTTATCTGAAGTCTTAGCTGGAGGAGTCTATGAGGCTGGACCACCTCAACTAGCAGCTTTGAAGTTGTTCTGGATGCAGAATTTTGAGGAACTAAAGCATTCTGAGAGACTGGATAACCTGAACTAATTGTCTGTTCTTTACTCATGCCTGGTCCTTTTGTTCTGAATACATACAACCCTTTTGTTTTTGTTTTATTTTTTTGAGACATGATTTCTCTCTACATTAGAGCCTGTCCTGGAACTCTCTCTGTTGAAGATCAGGCTGGCCTTGAACTCACAGAGATCTGCCTCTCTCTGCCTCCCAAGTGCTGGGATTAATGTGCCACCCCATCCCCACCCCCAGTAAACATACCAACTTTTAAAGATAACATACATATCTGTATTAACACAAATATGGAATGTGTGGTGTACACAAGTCAGTTAAAGATGATGTGTTTTATGTTTGAACAGACAAAGGGCATCTGTCAACTTTATAAGTCCATTTTGACTGTATAACCAAACTGTTATGAGGATTCTGTAGCCAACAAGATTTTTTTGCGTGTTATCCCATCTCAGAGCTGTTCCCATGTAGAGGGATCAGTATATATGTCACCTGTCCTGTAGTCTTTCCT